ACCCTGTTTCCAAAAAAATAAGTCAATTGCCTTTTTTCTTTGTTTCTGGTGTTCAAGATGTCAAAGCAAGGACATGGTGGTCCTCTGGTGTGAAGTTCTGGATTTCCTTGGGTGTTCCGGCAGGTTCCCTGATCAACTGTGCTGACAACACAGGAGCCAAAAATCTGTATGTCATCTCTGTGAAGGGGATCAAGGGATGGCTGAACAGACTTCCTTGCTGCTGTGGGTGACATGGGGAAGGCCACAGTCAAGAAAGACAAACCAGAGCTCAGAGAAAAGGTACATCCAGCCATGGTCATTTGACAGTGAAGGTCATATGGAGAAAAGACGTATTTCTTTATTTTAAGATAATGCAGGGGTCATAATAAAAAAGGTGAGATGAAAGGTTCTGCCGTTATATGACCAGTAGCAAAGGAGTGTGCAGACTTGTAGCCCTGGATTGCGTCCAATACTGGCAACATTGCATGATTCTCTGGTATAAAATATTTAAATCCCCAAAAAATAAATAAATAAATTTATTAATGAAAATGTTAAAGCAGAGATATGTTTCTTGAGAAAAAATTAAAAAGCAAAAATTATCTTATTTAATAAACTTTTTTTTTTTTTTTTTGAGACAGTGTCTTGCTCTGTTGCCCAGGCTGGAGTGCACTGGTGTGATCTTGGCTCAGTAGAACCTCCACCTCCCGGGTTTCAGCAATTCTTCCACCTTAGCCTCCCGAGTAGCTGGGATTACAGGTGCCCACTATCACACATGGATAATTTTTGTATTTTTTTTGCGACAGGGTTTCACCATGTTGGCCAGGCTGGTCTTGAACTCCTGACCTCAGGTGACCCACCGCCTTGACCTCCTAAAGAGCTGGGATTACAGACATGAGCCACCTCGCCGGGCCAGAATTTTTTTTTTTTTAAATAGAGTTTTGGTCTTCTAGCCCAGGCTGGAATGCAATGGCAAGATCCTGCCTCCCGGATTCAAGCAATTCTCCTCTCTCAGCCTCCTGAGTAGCTGAAACTACAGTTGTACACCACCAACCCAGCTAATTTGTTGTATTTTTAGTAGAGACAGGGTTTCATCATGTTGGCCAGGCTAGTCTCAAACTCCCAACCTCAGGTGATCCGTTCACCTCAGCCTCCCAAAGTGTTGGGATTACAGGTGTGAGCAACCGCACCTGGCCTGAACATGAAATTTTGAAAATAAGTTATTTATTTACTTATTATTTTTTGAGACAGAGTATCACTCTGTTGAGCAGGCTGGAGTGTGATGGCCTAATCTTGGGTCACTACAATCTCTGCCTCCCAGGTTCAAGCAATTCTCCTGCCTCAGCCTCCCAAGTAGCTGGGATTACAGGGGCACATTACCACACCCAGCTAATTTTTTTTTGTATTTTTTAGTAGAGATAAGGTTTAACCATGTTAGCTAGGCTGGTCTTGAACTCCTGACCTCAGGTGATCCACCCACCTCAGCCTCCGAAAGTTCTGAGATTACAGGCATGAGCCACTGAGCCCAACCAGAAATAAATTATTTAAACTGACCATTTTAATTTGATGTTTTAAATTTTTCTTCCTTTCTTTTCCTTCCCTCCCTCTCTCCCTCCCTCCCTCCCTCCCTCCCTCCCTTCCTTCCTTCCTTTCTTCTTTCCTTCTTTCCTTCCTTCCCATCCTTCCTATCCTTCCCTTCCTTCATTCTCTGAGACAGAGTCTCCCTCTGCCACCTAGGCTGGAGCGCAGTGCACAGTCTTGGCTCACTGCAACCTCTGCCTCCTGGTCTCAAGTGATTCTCCAACCTCAGTCTCCTGAGTACCTGGGACCACAGGTACACACCACCATGCCCGGCTAATTTTTTATTTTTATTTTTAGTAGAGACAGAATTTCACCATGTTGGCCAGGCTGGTCTCAAACTCCTGACCTCAGGTGATCCGTCCACCTTGGCCTCCCAAAGTAATGGGATTATAGGCGTGAGCCACCATGCCCAGCTGATGTCTTTAAAAATTAATGAAATATTTTTTAATCTATTGAGACTGTCTGTCACCCAGGCTGAAGTGCAGTGGCATAATCACAGCTCCTGGCTCAACCTCCTGGCTCTAGTGATCTTCCCACCTCAGCCTCCCAAGCAGCTGGTACTACAGGCATATACCACCATGCCCAGCTGGCTTTTTAAATTTTTTGTAGAGACGGAGGCTCACTGCATTGCTCAGATTGATCTTGAACTCCTGGGCTCAAGTGATCTTCCTGCCTTGGCCTTCCAAAGTGCTGGGATTACAGATGTGCACCACCAGGCCTGGTTATTTAATATTTTTGTGTGCACAGGAAACTTCACCCCCAAATGTGGCTCCCTGGTATAATGAATATTTTGAATTAAAGTCCTTTGGAGGCTGGGCACGGTGGCTCACGCTAGTAATCCCAGCACTTTGGGAGGCCGAGGTGGGCAGATGACCTGAAGTCAGGAGTTTGAGACCAGGCTCGCCAACATGGTGAAACCCCATTCTACTAAAAATTCAAAAATCAGCTGGGCGTGGTGGCAGGTGCCGGTAATCCCAGCTACTCGGGAGGCTGAGCAGGAGAATCACTTGAATCTGGGAGGTGGAGGTTGCAGTAAGCCTAGATCACACCATTGCACTCCAGCCCAGGGGACAAGAGCAAGACTTGCTCTCAAAGTGAATAAATAAAGAAAGTCCTTTAGAGATCAACAGATACTAGAAGAGACTTTTCCCCCTATCTATGTGAAGATCTGAACAGTTGTTCCCACTCTCACAGCTTCCTCTTCCTACCACAGTCTCTCAATCCTCTGTTACTCCCAAAGGCAGGATGAAGTTGTTCTCTAAAGTTCTTTATCTGCTTAAAGTTCAGATCTGCAAAAGAAGAAAACAATGACCTCTGGTCCATCCCTGATTTTTCATTAACTGAAATTTTATCACAGAAAGAAAGACTAAAGTCTGTCAACAAACCCAGACAGACTTTTGTCACAAACCATTGTCTGCCCTGTGGACCCAACAGACTTTGTCCCAGGCCATTGTATGTTTTTCCTGCCCATTGAATGTGCCTAAGAATCATTTAGTAGCCCCCTAAAATAGCCCACAGTTTTCCAGCTCCTCATTCTCTTCTAAAATAAGGCTAATATACAGCTGGGCATGGTGGCTCATGCCTGTAATCCCAGCACTTTGGGAGGTTCAGGGGGACAGATCATCTGAGGTCAGGAGTTCGAGACCAGCCTGGCCAATATGGCAAAACCCCATCTCTACTAAAAGTAAAACAATTAGCCAGTGTAATGGTGGGCCTCTATAATCCCAGCTACTTGGGAGGCTGAGGCAGAGAGAATTGCTTGAACCCGTGTGGTAGAGGTTGTAGTGGGCTGAATCACACCACTGCACTCTTGCCTGGGTGACATAGTGAGATGCTGTCTCAAAAAAAAAAAAAAAAACCTATATAAGTAGTATTTGGGTCCCATTGGGATATTGGGTAATCACTTTGTGATTCTCACCTGTATATACAAGAATTCATTTGTATGTCTTTACTTCAATTTCTGCCTTTTTAAAAAAAAGAACTGGGGTCTGAAAAAATAAAAATAACAATAATGAAAAAAGAGAGGCTGGATGCGATGGCTCACGCCTGTAATCCCAGCATTCTGGGAGGCCAAGGTGGGTGAATCATCTGAGGTCAGGAGTTTGAGACCACCCTGGCCAGCATGGTGAAAACCTGTCTCTACTAAAAATACAAAAGTCAGCTGGGCGTGGTGGTTGACACCAGTATCCTAGCTACTCAGGAAGCTGAGGCAGGAAAATCGCTTGAACCTGGGAGGCGGAGATCAGGCCACTGCACTCCAGCCTGGACAACAGAGTGAGACTCTGTCTCAAAAAAAAAAAAAGATATGGGGTCTCACTTTGTTGCCCAAGCTGGTGTGCAGTGGTAGTCATAGCTCACTGTAACCTCAAATTCCTGGGCCCAAGCAATCCTTCTGCTTCAGCCTCCTGAGTAGCTGGGACCACAGGCATGTGCCCACCAAGCCTGAGAATTTAAAAAAATTTCTTGTAGAGACGAAGTCTCGCTATGTTGCCCAAGCTAGACTTGAACTCCTGGCCTCAAGGGATCCTCCCACCTCACCCTCCTAAAGTATTGGATTATAGGCATGAGCCACCACACCTGGCCTAATCTGCCTTTTGTGAGTTGATTTTTCAGTGAAACTTCTGAGGATGAAGAAGAACTTTTCCCTTTGCCCTTATATTTTCATACAAATAAAATTCTTCACAATTCAAATATTGTTACAAGAAAAACTTCAGCTGAATTAAATTTAAAGGAGTTTAATTGAGCAATGAACAATTTGCAAATTGGTCAGCCCCCAGAATCACAGCAGATTCAGGACTCCAGGGATGCCTTCTGGTCAGAACAAATTTATAGACAAAAAAGGGAAGTGATGTACACAAATTGCAAGTGAGGTACAGAAAGAGCTGGATTGGTTACAGCTTGGCATTTGCTTTATTTGAATACAGTTTGAACACTCAGCAGTGTATGAGTAGTCAAAAGTATGGCTGCTGAGATTGGCCAAGACTCAACTATTGTTATAGGCACATACTGCTAAGTTAGGTTTTCAGTTTTGTCTACCTATTAAGGTAGATTATGGTTTGTACATAAAGACACAAATATAAAAGTACAGAGTCCTGGTGGGGTGCAGTGGCTCATGCCTGTAATCCCAGCACTTTGGGAAGCTGAGGTGGGTGGATCACCACAGGTCAGGAGTTTGAGACCAGCCTCATCAACATGGTGAAAACTGTCTCCACTAAAACAAAAATTAGCCAGCCGTGGTGGCGGGCACCTGTAATCCCAGCTGCTCGGGAGGCTGAGGCAGGAGAATTGCTTGAACCCAGGAGGTGGAGGTTGCAGTGAGCTGAGATCTCATGACTGTACTCCAGACTGGGTAAGAAGCACAAAACTCTGTCTCTGAAAAAAAAAGTACAGAGTCCTTCCCAGGCCATATTTAGTTTGCTTTAACATTATAAAAATCAGTATCATCGTCAGGTGGGATAATCCTTACCCGTTCCTCCTTTGGAGGGGAGATAAAACATGATGATTGGAGATGCATGAAACATAAAAAAAGTATTTAAAAAAGTAAAAAGAAAAAAAGAAAAAAAATCAGTCTCATGTTTCACTGTGTTATGTCCAAACTCACATGTATAGAAATTTAATGGTAATTTAAATTGCTTAATATTGCAGAAAAATTGTAAACTGCCGGGAGCAATTGTTGTAACTACTTTACCAATTCTTCCTGCCTTCAAAGCATGATTTGAAACATAAAGAAAATGGACGCCTGGTACTGAGAAATACTTTGTTATGTAATAATATACTGCATTCCTGCTATTGGAAAGGAAGGACCTGAAAGGTGATTAATTTGTCTTATTTAGTACCCAGTTGCTTATGCTCAAATCTTTTCTGTACTTGGAAGCAGTGAGTCTCTGATTTTGTCAGTGACATAACCCACCATTTAACCCACAAACCTCACCTCTCCAAAACCTAGCGCTTTTGTACATAGAAATGTTACAAAATAAATTTTAACACGTTGAAAACTAATGTTTACCCATGTGGTCATATTAACTTATTTTGTATAGACCTCAGAATAAAACTTGATCTCAGTCTCAAGGAATGTCCTCTAAGGCCATAGACTACGACTGTGCAAGTTGTGCCATGAACAACCCTAGGGGTCACTATTCACAGGGTAGTACCTTTGACATTTTTAAATGATAATTTTCCAGCAGATGGCAGTAAATTGTGTGGAAGAAAGGTAACTTTAAAAACATCCTCACAAAGGTCTTATATAGGCTAGGAGCTATATTGGATCATTTCTCTCCCCAGAGGTAATCTCTTATAAGTTTGAAGTTGTCCTTCTAGACCATATATTCACATATATACATATATCTACATAGAAAAACAGAGGTTTTATTATTTTAAAACTTTTTTGAGAGGCTGAGGTGGGAAGATCATGGGGCCAGGAGTTCGAGACCAGCCTGGACAATGTAGTGAGATGCCAACATCTCTACCAATAAATAAATAAATAAATAAATATATCAAAATAAAATAATAAATAAATGAAAATTTTTTTTTTAACATATTAACAGTAGTGAAGCAGGAGAATAGAGTCTGGAGGCAGGAAACCTAAAGCCGCACTCATGCTGACTTCCTAGAACTAAATCAAAAGGAAAACCCCAAATTTCAAAATCTAAGTAACAAAAGGACCAAAGGCTATTCCCTTTGCAAACGCCCCTGTTCTCCACTTTCTCCCTGGCAGACGGAAAACTGAGAGTACCTCTGATTGTTTGCTTTGCACAACCAATCAGATGTTTGCATAGGAGTTCAACTTTGTGATTTCACTTTAGCCTTTGATTGGTTGCTTTGTGCAACCAGTCAGACTGATTGTGGGCCACTACTTCGTTTGCATGGGGTATATACCAAATGACCAATAAAAAAACTGTAGAGAGTATTCAGACCCCAGAAGATCCCGCAACCAGAGCCCTTGAGCCACTGCTTGAACTACTCCTACCCTGTGGAGTGTACTTTCGTTTTCAATAAATCTCTGCTTTCCTCACTTCATTCTTTCCTTGCTTTGCTGTGCATTTTGTTTGATTCTCTCTTCAAAACGCCAAGAACCTGACAACTTACAGTGAAGACACTCTACCACTAACAAGTAGCAGGGCACTATATTCTCTATCTTGCCTTTCTCAGTATGTTTTAAAGATCTTTCAATGTAACCATATGTAACCCTGGAACTAGTCCAATCTGGTTCAACTTTGTCAGCAACAAAATGTGACAAAATGATGAGTTGTTTTTCTGCTCCCAAGGACCCCCAGGTTGCAAGTCACCTAACCTGAGTATGGCCAGAAGAATCAAGCAGGCCCAGGTCCTGACCTCAGAGCCAGCTGGAATGAAAAAGCCAACCACAGGCAGAATCTAAGTGCTTGGACCAAGCAACAGGGACCAAGTTAAAAAGCAAGGTACCCCCTATTTTGTTGGAGTATGAACTTTTCTAAAAGCCAAGGACCCAATATCACCTCATTGCATGATCTCATCAGTTTGCAGCTTCTTTGCATGAACCCAATCAGATCACACCTTATCTCAGTTCCTCTTTGTCCATAAAACCTGCCCCAGACCCCAGCTTGAGAGACAGATTTGAGAATTGCCTCGTGTCTCCTTGCCAGTGAAGTTACAGTGAAGCTTTTTCTTTTCTCAGAAGTCAATCCTATATCGGCTTCTTGGTTTTTTTTCTTCTTCTTCTTTTTTTTTTTTTTTTTTTTTTTTGGGAGTCTCTCTCTGTCGCCCAGGCTGGGATGCAATAGTGTCGTCTTCGCTCACTGCAACCTCCACCTCCCAGGTTCAAGCAGTTCTCCTTTCTCAGCCTCCCTAGTAGCTGGGATTACAGGTGCCCGCCACCACGCCCAGTTAATTTTTATAGAGATAGGTTTCACCATGTTAGTCAGGCTGGTCTTGAACTCCTCACCTCGTGATCCACATGCCTCGACCTCCCAAAGTGCTGGGATTACAGGCATGAGCCACCGCACCTGGCCCCATATCAGCTTCTATGTGTGTCGAGCAGCTAGCCCTTGCTCAGTAACATATAGCGTTTGGTCATTTTAAAATCTGATGTATAATATTCCATACTATGAATATATATGGATTATTAAAACATTTCTGTATTGGTGAACATTTAACTTGCTTCCAGTTTTTTTGCTGTTACCAGCCATGCTGCAGTGTCCACCCTTGTGCATATCTTCTTGGGCACACGTGTGAGGGTTTCTGTGGGACAGATACTGAGAGGTAGTATTGCTGGGCCATAAGGCACATATGAGTTTAGTTTTGATAGTGAAGGAGGAGGTAGGACTCAACTCTGGAGGAAAGGCTTGGACACTAGACCAAATTGAGGACTAGCTTAAACAGGGCCAGGGTGGAAGCAACTTTCCATAAGACATGCCCACCAGTGTGCCATGTCAGTTTGCCATTGCCATGGCAACACTCAGAAATTGCCATTCCTTTCCATGGCAATGACCCAATGACCTGGAAGTTACCGTGCTTTTCCTAGAAATTTCTGCATAAACTCCCCCTTAATTTGCATGTAATTAAAAGTGGGTATAACTATGACTGCTGAACTACCTCTGAGCTGCCATTCTGGGCACACTGCCTACAGGGTAGCCCTGCTCCACAGTTGTAGCACCTCTGCTGTTGCTGTACACTGCTGCTTCAATAAAAGTTGTCATTTAACACCACCAGCTCACCCTTGAATTCCTTCCTGGGTGAAGCCAAAACCCTCCCAGGCTAAGCCCCAATTTGGGGGGCTTGCCTGTCCTTTCAGTACAACATTGCTTAATTGCTCTCTAAAACAGCTTTTCCAGGCTGGGTGCAGTGGCTCACACCTGTAATCCCAGCACATTGGGAGGCTGAGGCAGGCAGATCACCTGAGGTCAGGTGTTCAAGACCAGCCTGGCCTACATGGCGAATCCCTGTATCTAATAAAAATATAAAAATTAGCTGGGCATGGTGGTGTGTGCCTTTTATATTTTTATAAAAATATAAAAATTATCCCCAGCTACTCGGGAGGCTGAGACAGGAGAATCATTTGAACCTGGAAGGTAGAGGTTACATTGAGCCAAGATTGTGCCACTGCATTCCAGCCAAGGTGACAGAGTGAGACTATCTCAAAAATAAAATAATAGGCCAGGCCTGGTGGCCCACGCCTGTAATCCCAGCACTTGGGAGGCTGAGGCAGGCAGATCACAAGGTCAGGAGTTCAAGACCAGCCAGGCCAATATGGTGAAACCCTGACTCTAATAAAAATACAAAAAAATTAGCTGGGCATGGTGGCATGTGCCTGTAGTCCCAGTTACTCAGGAGGCTGAGACAGAAGAATTGTTTGAACTTGGGAGGCGGAGGTTGCAGTGAGCTGAAATGGTGCCATTACACTCCAGCCTGGGTAACAAAACGAGACTGTGTCTCAAAATAAATAAATAAATAATAAATACATAAAATTGATTTTCCAATTTACACTAATGAGCAAAGCATGAAACTATCTGTTGCCAATATGTGATATTCTTAATGCAAAAATTTTTTGACTTGACTGGGTATGGTGGCTTATTCCTATAATGCCAGTGCTTTGGGAGGCTGAGGTGTGGAACACTAGCCTGGGCAACATAGTGAGACCTTATCTCTGTAAAAGAAAATTAAAAAATAAAAGTTGGGGCTGGGGTGAGTCGCTCACATTGTAATCTTGGCATTTTGGGAGGGTGAAGTGAGCAGATTGCTTGAGCCCAGGAGTTTGAGATCAGCCTGGGCAACATGGTAAAACCCATCTCTATTAAAAATACAAAAAATTAGCCAAATGTGGTGGTGTGCACCTGTAGTTCCAGCTACCCAAGAGACAGATGGGAGAGTCACCTGAACCTGGGAGGCTGAGGCTGCAGTGAGCCATGATTATACCACTGCACTGCAGCCTGGGCAACAGAGACAGAGTGAGACCCTGTCTCAAAAAGAAAGAAGTTTGTTTCTTTTTTTTTTCACTAAACTGTTGAGACATGGATTCTCCTTTATGTTTATTAGTTATTGGTACTTCCTCTTCTGTGAGTTGTCTGTTTATATTGGAGGAATTAAGAATATAACACCCCTGGCTGGGCATAGAGGCTCATGCCTGTAAGCCAAACACTTTGGGAGGCCAAGGCTGGAGGATCACTTGAGCCCAGGAGTTCAAGACCAGCCTCGGCTACCTGGCAAGACCCCATCTTTACGAAAAAAAAAAAAAAATTATCTGGGCATGGTGATTTGTGCCTGAAGTTCCAGCAACTTGGGAGGCTAAGGTAGAAGGATCACTTGGGCCTGGGAGGTCAAGGTTTCAGTGAGCCATAATTGTGCCACTGCACTCCAGTCTGAGCAACAAAGACCCTGTCTCAAAGAAAAAAAAAAAGAAAGGGAGAGAATATGACCTTCATTCTGTTTCTTAAAAGCAGGACATGAAATTCCCATGTGAAAGATGCAGCAATTTTTGGGAGGCTGAGGCTGAGGTGGGAGGATTGTTTGAGTACAGCCTGGGGTACATAGCAAGATCTCGTCTCCAAACAAGCAAACAAAACTCCCCTGTCAAAACTCCAACCATTCTTAACAAGGCTATAAAGATGAGACTGAGAAACTTCTGTACAGACCTTGTTAAAATAACTCTAACTGCTTCTGGGTCTTCATGTTCTTATGGGGGCTCCCATGCCATGAAAAATTTGTATTAAATAAACTTGCATGATTTTCTCCTGTTAATCTGTCTTATGTCAATTTAATTCTCCAGCCCAGCCTAAAAGAGGACAGAGGTGGAGTTTTGCTGCCTCTACAATACCTTCAGTGCTTGTCTCTTTGTGTATGTGTGTGTGTGTGTGTATATATATATATTTATTTGTTTATATATATAAATAAAATATTTATAAATATTTATATACTATACTCTATTTTCTATATAAATACATAGAAAATATATAAATAAATATCTTATAAATATATTAAAATAAATATATATAGTATATATATAAATATATATACATTGTGTGTGTGTGTGTATATATATATATAT